TTTTTAAAGTGAATAATATTTTAAATATAATAAAGTAGTTATTCAGTTATTTTAATAGAAATATATGATTGAAAAAAAATCATTTAAATATGTTATTAAGCATTTTAAAAATTAATGAATTTTTTGACTGAAATATTAAATGTAATGACTTGAATAATTCTAATGCAAGATACATACATGAATGAAATTATTGTACGTCTTCCTGAAGATATTAAAGAATAGTGGTTCACCGTGAACCCATTCTGCTTGGACTGTTAGTAGGAGATGCCACAAACACGTGATCCTAGCAAAACTCAAATTCAAACAAAGTAGAGTACATTTAGCACAATCCAAAAATAGAACTACAGATCTTGATTACAAGTTTTGGAATGTGAAAGAAAGAAGTGGCCCAATAGAAGGGCCCAGTAATAGATGGGCCCAGTGAACGATCGTGAATCTTTTGAAACAGTTCTAGATTTGGACGGTGGCGAAAATGAAGGCTTACTTACTCTAGATCATACATACCTCGACATCGACATTTCACCAAATTCATTTTTGGGTCCCTTCCCAAATTCACTTTTTTTAATAAAAATATATTCTTTAAATATTATTTTTCAGAACGAAAGAATCGATGATATGTGTATTATAATAATACTGTTAATATTAATTCTTAAATTTAAGGTATTATTCGTTTTAAAATTATTAAAATTTAAAATCATATTATTACTACGAATATATTATACTTAAAAAATCAAAAGTATAATTTAGTTTATTTTTATAAAATAATAAAAGGGTTGAACTACACTGATTCATATAGCAGAATTTACTTCCATTAGACAACTTATATTTATAATATAAGTTGCAATGACAAAATCTAGTGTTAAAGTAGGTAGAAGTCACGCGCAATAAAAGCCTAGCACAATACAAACCCTAAATTTATCGTGTAGTGACTAAAACTTCATCCAATTATTTAGGATGGGTATGCAACTTGTCATATCATCATGAAAAAAATAAAATTATTGTACTAAATTTCTTATTTATATGATGAACAATTAATACAAAACTTTACTGATGATATAACTCTACTTTGTTAGGGTTGTATCAAGGAAGGTATAAACACAATCAACTATCAATTTTATAATAAAATTAACTAACTTACGATATACTTTCAATTAACTCAGTCGCTTGCTAATTAAATAAACTATTAGCTAACTTAATTATTGTTTTAAACATGCCCTAAGTCTGTTTCAAAAATCATTTCGACAAATTTAAAATTCTTCTAGTTTTATTTTTTTAAAATAAATAGTTGCTTTTGAAATATATTTTAGCACAATTGAAAAAAAAAACAAAATAAATCTGATCCACTTAAAATAAAATACTATATTAAATTGAAAGATTGTTTAACTCGTGCACGCTTCCATTCAAAACTTTTTGATCCAATAATAATTTGCCGATGTTTATTTATTTATTTATATAACTTGACAAGACAAAATATTTCTTGTATAGTGACGTAAGTTCATATATATCACCAGCTTATAACTTGTACTTGAAAAAAATAAAATCGAATAAATAAACCATCAATTATGAAGGGAAATTATTTGAAATAATTTGATGATGACAATCATGGTGGTCCCAATTCTCTTATCCAATTATAGATTGGGACCTGGAAATGAGTTCATTATTATAGCCATGCTCCACATTTGAACTAAAACCCTAAATACGTGTATGAGGAAGATGATTATTATTCTGTGAGTCAAAGGACATGCAAGCTGGTTTGTACGTTGATATTTGGCTTGAATGAAATTGAATTTATTCAATTCAACCGTTTATTAAAGTTCCTTTTTTACCATAAATGTCAAAATAAATAAGGTTAAATTTCTCAACTTTATTACCATTATATCGTTTGGATTAATCATTCAAGATATTCAAGCGTATTGTTTATTTAAAAAGTAAAATTTATAAATTATTGCTAATCTCGATTATTAATAGAAGTGTATCGAACATTCTAATCTATTTGATCGTAATCTTCCTCCATTACATTTGTCTTATCATTATATGGTTCCTTTATTTGCCATGGGAAGTAACTTGGAGTTGGAGAAGCTTAAATGATTGGTTTTCATGAACTGTAATCACATGTCTTATCCATGAATTTAGGTCAAATACTTAATAAGCCATTTTTTGAGCATAGGACACCAACGTGCATAAGATATTCAGTACTTAAAAGATAAAGGTTCTTCCCAATTCTCGATTTCAATCCTTAACTACCTACCACGTACGTGAATTTGCCTCTTGTACTTGGTCAACATTAATGAGCCAGAGTCAGGTGGCAATTATGTCATTGAGTTTTTTAATTATTTTAAACGTGACATTTTTGTCTTTTAATTAATATTAAATTAGTGATTAAATTAAGGAATTCAGATATATTAAGAAATTCAATAAAAAATAAATAAATTACTTTTGTAAACGTATATACTTTTGCTAAGTGCACCCTCCAATGTCAATATTTTCTGGTTTTTTCCCCACCCTTTATATCTTTGTCTTTTATGAGTGAAAGACTGAGTTTCTTTGTTTATTTATTCAATGGCAATATTTAAATTTTTAAGGTGCACGCTATTTCCCATGGTTGCTTCTGGATCTACATGCATGATTGATCTTCAATGATCAAACCCCGCAGTTCTATGGGGACTCGTCTTTTTGTTTTTTCTGCTTATATATTAATACTATTTTTTTCTCTTTATTATACATTTATTTATCTGAATTAAGATTCAGGTTGTATGAATTTCAGTGGGAGGAGATAAAATATACAAGAAAAAATATGTTTTGATAATCTTTAAAAAATGCTTTTATAGGTAGTATATATAGTTTTATAAAAGATATTTTTTTCAATCTTATAAAGTCAATTACTTTAATAAATGGTTTTCTTATTAAAAAAAACAGTTTATATAACTATTCTAAAATATGCTAGATAAGTCTATTGATACTAGATGTGAAAGTATACATTCATAATTACATGATTTGATAATCTTTTTTTTATGTAAAAAAAAAAGATTTTCTTTTAACATATTATAAGAATGGATCGATACATGTTTTAAAATTTAAGAATATTCATATTTTAAAACACTTCTAACGAATAAATTGTATTTTATAATATGACTTTTTTTTAGGAAAAAAATATTTAACCTTATTCGAAAAATGATTTAATTAAAAAAAGTCTAAATTAAATTTTAAAACACAACTTTTAAAGAAATACACTTTAAAATAATACTTATTCATCTCACGTTACTAAAAAAAATAAATAGTTTTCTACAATTTTCTCGTAAAATAATATTTACAAAAAATATTTTCGAGTTTTTTTATAAAAAATAATTGTAAAAAATTTATGCAAATTTTACTTCAATTTTTAATTATATTTAGATTTTTTCAAATAAAAATTGTAAAAAAATTAGCAGAAATTTTTCTATAAAAATTTTTATAAATAAAAATTCGCGTGTAATAATATTTTAATAAACAATAACAAATTTCATAAGCAGTGTTTCTTGTTAATTAATTTTAAAAGAAGAAATAAAAAAATTATCTATTCAGAGCTTAGAATTCATTCACCACAGTATATTAAGAATTGGTGCTACAATTCTTCTCCTCGGTGATTCTTCTCCTCTCAGATACATTCATCTCTTTAATTTCTCAATATTTCTTTCTTACCGTTTCGTCAATTTCTCTAAAACAACGTCATGATAGTGGAACCCTAATATTACCATAGTCGAATCGTAACATGGTTCTGTACTTCTATTTTTCTGTCAACAACGTTGGATTAGGTCTTCTCCGTGGACAAATGTTTAAGGAGAGTAAGCAAATTTTGAATTGTTATATACTGTTCCAGTGAAAAAGAACGTAGAGATATCTCAAGTGATCGATCTAGCTTGCCCTTTTACATGAATCATGCACACTTAATAATTTTAAGTGAAAGCATTAAAAGAAACTCAATTTTATAGGTTAGACCCAAACTTGTCTAAGGGTCTCAATTCAGTTTACACTATGATATTCACACTTGCTACAAAAGAAAAGGCCCATTTTATCTCATAAAAACCAACTTACTAGTAAAATCAAACTATGAGTTTAAAATATAATGAATTATTTTTATCAAATAAATTGGCTATGGTAACGGAGACATATTTTTTGTACTGTGAAAACCAAAAAAAATAGAAGGAGAATATGTTAAACGTGCCCTTGTTGATTAATTTTTTTTTAGGTGATATGAAAGGAAATAAAAGAATGGTGTGGTGGAAATTATTGTGTAAGTTTCATTATTGATGGGCTAATTGTAATGTCAAGTCATGAGTGTTTTCCTGGTTGTTTCTCCCCATCTGTGGATAAGCTCTTGACTGCGTGTATATGCAGAGTTAGGGGAAACTGCATATTAAACACGCGTATTTAAATTTTCCACTATAAAGCTATTTTTTCATATGTAGAAAGGTATAAAGGTGAAGCAAAAAGGAGAAAAAGAGAGAAGAACAAGAGTACATAACCAACTTGATAAGGTGTAGTTTTGCGCGTCTCTTTTTTTATATATATAATTTTTTTAATTAGTAATTTTGATTTAAAAGTATAGTTTTTATTTGAATCTCTCTTGTTCTGTCCAAAATATATCTTACGACGTCGAAATTGAAGTGATTATGTAGGAAGATGTTTTAGGTCATAAAATTTTTGAGTTGGGTCCACAGTATACATGGAAGCAACAGTAGGCGGCTACAGAAGCGACGAAAGATAACAGAAGGAAGGAACCCCACCACCGTCACATGCGAACGTGACTGCGAGAAAGCCAAAACACAAAAATTGAAAACCACTCTTCGTGGTGGGTAGTTTCGTCAATTTCAATCCACAATTATTATTAAATCCACATTTGCATTATTATGATCCTACCTGTGCTCATTCGCTATATAAATAATACACGTCTCAACTCAACCGAACAACTCCCCAACTAAGATTCAAAGCTTCATATTCGCAAACCACGTCACAGAGCAACAATGGGAAACAGCTTAAGGTGCTGTTTGGCTTGCGTTCTTCCTTGCGGAGCGCTAGACTTAATCCGCATAGTCCACCTCAACGGCTGCGTCGAGGAAATCACGCGTCCAATCACGGCAGGAGAAGTTCTCAAGGCCAATCCAAACCATGTTTTGAGCAAGCCCAGTTCCCAAGGCGTGGTTCGCCGGATTCTCATCCTCTCGCCGGAGACTGAACTCAAGAGAGGCAGCATCTACTTCTTAATCCCCGCCGCGTCTCTGCCGCCAGAGAAGAGGAGGCTCCTGAAGCACTTGAGTGGCCGCACCAGTCATATTCATAGTGATAAGAACGAGGTTAACAAGAAAGTGTGTTGTTCCAATAAGAGTAACCATGATTTGTCATCTTCACAGCAATGTAATGACCAAGGCTTCATAGTTTCTAAGGAAAAGAAATGCTCGCGGCGGGATCGCCGGAACGGTCGCGCCGGATTGTGGCGGCCGCGGTTGGAGAGTATCTCAGAAGATTAATTTTTTTCCCCGGCGAACGGTTCCGGATTCTGAATTTTGAACCGAAGATGGTTCAATACTTGAATTGTTAAAATGTAACATGACCCTTTTCTCCTTTTTCTAAATGTACGAGTATATATCAAAATTTGTGGATATAGAAGAGTTATTTTGCTTTCATTTATGATTTTTCGTTTTTTGTTTTCGGGTTGAATTAATCTAATATTTCGATTCAAGCCATGTTTCTTTGGTTCAGTTAATCAACACATGCTTGCGTTGTACAAATAAAAAAAATTAATGGAAAATAATCGTGGGATTAATAATCTTTTTGGCAGAATTATGCTTTTTAATTATAGGAAATGGTTAAATTCTAATTATTTTAAAAAAAATCTGATAAGCAATTTTAGTCTGTATTAACTCACAATTTTTACTCAATAAATTAATACTCAATTTTGCATATATTATATATATTTTTAGTTTAGTCTAATTGAACCTATTTATGCAAAGTATTATTCTCAAGGATTTAATTAATTAAAATAAAAAATAAACATATGAAAAATTAATAATTTTAAATTTTAATCTGAAAAATAAATAAAAAATATATAAATCAAAATGGAATTTAAGAAATTAAAGAGAAACTAACAAAAATATAATTTAATAAATAATTAATAAAATTTTACTTGATTATCATGGCCTGAAGATTGACCCAACCATATAATGGGACAGCATGTAATAATTTCTTTGAAAAGTTATTAATTTTTCCAATGATAAATTAGGAGACAGTATATTATTAATTCTTTTTTCTTTTGCTTTTAGTTAAGTAATCAAATAATGCACCGTAAACACGGAACATTAATGGTGGCATTCTGAATTAGATCCATATTCCAATGATTAAGCCGAGTTTCCATTTGGATATTTAATTAGAAGATGCATGTTAGCCACCTATGTCCATTCATGGAGGAATCTATTAAGGAAAAAGGAATAAAAGGCTTTGGTTGACATTATTATTTCAGTTACTAATTATTTTGTTGGGGGTCTAGATTCAAGCGATATAAGTTCTACTTTTAGGTTTAGAAGAACAAGTGTAATAGTAGGAACAAACAATGATTAGAAATATTTACAAGTATTTTTGTTCACGCTATCAAGTCAAATTAAGCACTTAATACTCGACCCATTTTCGTAGGAAACGAGCCAAAGTACAGATTGGGTCCCAATTAATCCTGGTTAAGATTTGACTCAATATAAGCTGGTTAGTGGACTTTAGCTGGCCAGCACTAAAAAAAATAATACCAAGATCATTTTATTATACGTGAAATATGTATATATCTTATTGTATATTTCAAAATTTATTTTAACACATAATAAATTAATACCACATAGTAAATGTGCACAATGTTAAACTAAGAAAATTTGGAGTTAAATACCAAATAACTCTTTTACAATATTTCTGATTAATATTAGATTTTAAAAAAACAACTCTTCTCATATTATAATGACATGATATTTTGAAGGTGCATTTATAAGATTAAACATTATTTGTAGTCTCTCAAATCTATTATTTAAGTAAGATTATGAATATTATTTATTTATGTGTAAAAGTAGAATGGAGAAGAAAAAAGATAGACGGTAGAAAGAATGAGAGGAGAAAATGGTGGGACTTGGTAGAAACATTGGCGACATGGCCACGCTACACAAGCAAGAAAGCTGGCATATCCTCCTTGACTTGTATGTTATTAAATTACTCAGTTGTTCACGTGGATTCCCTCTCTTCTCTCCCAGCCAATAATACACAATTCTCTCCACATCCCTTTCTCACTCTCCAACTCATCCATATATTATTATAATATGCCTACCTTGCTTCCACACATCGATGCACATTTGTTTTAGTGAACCATAAACACACTTTACTCATATTCTTCTCAGTTTTCTTTTCTTTACATCAAATGGTTTAACTTTAAACAACATACGTACGAATACCGGATTCGTTCAATCTCCTTCTTTCAAGGTAATTATCATTTCATCGGTTTGGTTAAAAGGAACAACGTAAGTAAACTCCTCAACTTACCTTTAACATGCTTTTAATCAAAGAGTACCAAATAGTTTATACTGCAAACTAAAATAGTTTGGTCTACGTAATTAATTATAGAGATTCTTTCAAAACCTAATCAGCGACTTTCGTTTAGGGTTTCGTGACGTTAATTATCTTGCATTTTAAACATTTGTGAGGGTTGAATAAAACAAACCATTCAAACATGTTTAAAGTGTTTAACATTACAAAAATCAGATTCTAAACATGTAGATGAGTGTGAAATCAATATAACTAAATAAAAAACTCGATAGCATTATCATATATTTAGTAAGGAGAAGTGATAGAGGGAGATCCCAAGGACTGGAGTAAGTAGCATTGAGCCTTGTGCTGCAGTTGGTTAGGACAAAGCAAATCAAGAAGCAAAGTTCACGGGCTTCAGTCGCCAAATCACGGAGGAAAACTAGCTTCATTCTCTCAAAACATGCACACATATCCCATCATTGGAGATTGGAGTTTCAATATATATAATATGTGCTAGTTTGATGAGATCATGAACAACAACTTGTTCATATATATCCTCTTAATGCACACTCATATTAATTTCCCAAAGGAGTGAAACCACTCTATGCCTGCCAAATTAAGCCTTTCTATTGATCTTCTATCCATCAACTCCAATTGGGTGTCTGTGTTTGGAATGAATTTTGTAATGGAGTTATCATTCACTCTCTACATTCATTTGAAGCAATATAACAAGCAGTTTATATGCATTGCTTCTGGCGATTTATTCTACGTAGATGTAGGTTGTTTGGACTTTTTTCATGAATAATTATAAACCACAAAAGTAAGAAGGAAAAAATAACCATCTTTATTCTAAAACATTTCTTTAACTACGGACAACCAAAATGCTTTTTATTGAACTTTGTTTGATCAAGACCGACATATACATAGTTTCATCTAATTTGTACGTGACATAAAAATAATATTTCGATTTATAATTAACAAATGGTTAATAATAAAAATAATCTTTCTACCTTATTTTTCAGAGTGAAATCTTTTTAGTTTAATAATACAAACACTTAGATCCTCATTGCTTCATCACAAAATGCTTTTAATCTTTCACTATAAACATATGCACACTGCAAAAGTGCAAATAATCTTGCAAAATTTTGGAGTCACCACATTAATAATTATCTTTTTATTTTTATTTTATTTTTGGAAAACCTTTTTTCTTTTTTTTCTTTTTTTTATTTTACAATAGTTGTTTCACATTTCCATCTCTCTTCCTAATATATGCATCGTCGTCAAAAACTTATTTCATTTTAGACTTCATTTTTTTCTTTTTTCTTTTTTGCAGGTCTCAAAAATTTTAAATGAATAGATATAGGCTTTAATACTAATTTAAAAATATGAATTAAAAGATATATCATTCTCTAAAAAAAATACAATATACAAATAATTACTAATTAAATATACAGATATATACAATTGATTAGTATAAAAAAATTAGAATATTTAATAAGCATGTCAGTAAATCTTGTTTAATGAAAAGATTAAAAAAAAAAAATACAAAATCTAAAACTACCTTCTATTCGGTGGTTAAACTATTAGCCTCGTTGTATGTGGACTTCACACTTCCATAGTGTTTATTTGTGAATAGATGGAACTGCCTAATTGAAAATGATCGTGACCAACCCCTATCCTACTTTGTTGGTGCACCACTAACACAGACCCATCAAAAGCAGAATCTGGAGACACTAACATGTCTCCTATAGAGCCAAGTTCCGGATGTTCATGCCACTCTGTCAATCCACTAAGCATTGGAGACTCGTTATCGTGGCGTCTACCCGCCAAAACCAAATCATAACAACCTTCAAATGACCTTATGACATTGATCATTTCCACACTATCTGCCACAATTTTCTCCCTGTAATCGTGGCGTTTGATTTCGATGTAGTCGACCTTAAACTTGTGAACCAAGTCACCATCAGGGTCTCTATCAATGGAATTTATACTTTTATTGCAAGGCTCCAGTAACCGAATTAATGTGACCGACACATTTGGGTGATCGGCCATACGCATTGCGAATGTCAATGCTTCACGGTCATCTGGACCTTCTACGAAGATAATCCCAACATTGTAGAAAGACAGTGTGTTTAAAGTGTTGTTTCGAATCAAGTTGCCTCGTTGAATCAAGATCCCAACAGAGCAAGGTGTAGTTTCGAGCAAATGGCGGTTCAATGTTTTAATGGGGTTTGCAGATTTCGAAATCTGTCTGGATCTCCATTGCATGTGAAAAGGCAAGATCAACATGCATACTCTTGTGTCTGCAGCTAGCATGCATATCTCATCATGCATTGTCTCGTAGGGTGAGATGGACGTGAAGAGTTTGACTACCACTTTGCCCATGTTTTGGCGCTGGTATGATTGGAAGGCGTTTATGATGTGTCGTGAATGAGTAGAGTGTAATGACGTACACTTAGGCTTGTGTTGATGATCTATTAAAACTGGGGCTAATCTGCCTGTTAACTGAATGAGGCGTAGGACATTAAGGCAAACGGGACTCTCAATTGTGGAGTTGGACATTTCTAGAATATTCATGATGACTGGAGTGTTTTCTTCAAAGTGTATGCATGCCATCAAGGGAAGTACAACATTCGGAGGGGCATGCTCAATGTTCCTCTTGTTTAAGGACAAGTAACTCTTAGATGGGTCATATATAAAAATAAGGTACCATTTTTTATTAAACCGATTCGTTAAGTCTAATTTTCAAAACAGTAATTAATAGTTTTTTTCATTTCTCAAGCAAAATAACCATTTTCAATATAAAAATTAAATATAATGGAAGGATTAATATAAAGATAAAATATATCCTAGATTTTGGTCTTTTATTCTTTAATCTTAAAGAAAACACTATTCATGTCCTCGTATTTTTATAATAGAGTGAATTTCGTCTTTAAATTATGGTTAGACTCAAAGGATGACGAGATTAAAATCACCATTTTTAAAAAACTAAATTTGATCAAGACCTATAACATGTTTTATGCAAGAATAGTTTTTGCATGGGTGTTCGAATGAAATTACCTATTTGGATTTCTTCTCCTCCTAATTAATAAACAACACCATAGGAAGAAACAATAAAACAATAAGGATTCTTACATTAAAGTATTGACAAGCATGCAGGTATTGCAAATGGGTGATGCCTTAGGCACTCAAAATAAGACCTAAGGAGAGAGCATCAACGAGTGATATGTTGCACCACATTGAAACCACCAGGGTTCCTATCACCTTCCCAATGAAGCAAAATATGGCCACAGGCTGCACAATTGCAAGGCTATGAGCATCGATTAGACTGAGATCACATTTGGCACCCACGGAGAAGTAGAACAATGGCAGGAGTACTGTTGAGACCATGGTTTCTAGCTTTTCTACCAATGCTGATCCGAGTGGTGGGCCTTCAGGCACTGCCAGACCCAGAAGAGCAGGCCCAATCAAGAAGTGCTCTCCAAACATCTCACCAGCAAATGAACACCCCAAGGTCATAACAAAGATGGATATTATGTAGGACTCTTTGATGGGTTTCCCTCTGGGTGTTTTGCGTACCATTCAAAACATGATTGGTCGAAGAACACAGAAGATGAAACACGTTAAAACAGCTACAAAAAGGAACATCAGCTGGGCAGAGTTATGTTTCTGTTGCAATTCAGCTGATCTCTGTCGTGTTAACAGGCTTTGACAAAACGAAGACAATGCTCCATTCAACATAGATGAAGAAAGACCAACCTTTGAATTGAGGAGCCTTAAGTCTTGTAAGAGACTAGCAGTGACGTGAAATGAACCAGTTGATAAGAAAACTGCAATGTAACGTAGGGAGAACAAAAGTAGCAGATAAGCTAAATAAGAGAGGAAATACAGCGGAAGACAAGGCAATGGCCCAAGTCTTTTTCCCTGTTCTCAGCACCATACATGGATCTACTTTGACTCCCACCAGGAACAAGAACATCATGTTCCCGAAAAGAGAGATTGTGTCGCATACATAGAAGGGTTTTGAGACGAAAACCCATTTATTAAAGCTTTTAGCTTTTGCCATTACAGAATGCCCCGTTATCAACCCTGCCTGAGTACATGCACCCCGTTATCAAGGCTATAGTTTTATTTTAATTATCTCAAAATAAAGGTCACTAAATCTAACATTTAATTAGAAAGATAAAAGAATTAAACCTATTTAATTTTAAATTAAAATTTCACATGCATGAACACCGTTAATAGATATATTACATTACCAGTACTTGTGGAACGAAGGTACTTGCTCCAATTGGATTAAGAAGATATTGTATACATGCAGAGCACAAACAAACTAAGGAGGCCTGCAACATGAACACTGTTAAGGTGTAGTCTAAAGGGTTATCGCCGTAGAATATTCCTCTTGAGAAATGTTGAAAGGCACTTGTTCGTTCGCAAACCCTCACGTTGTTTAAGGCTAGGGAAGTGTTGGAGGTTGAGGTGATAATATCCATATTGTCACCATAAGAGACTCACTTACAGTAAAATTTACTATAAAGATAATGTTATCTGTAATGGAATGAAAAAAAAAAAAAATTAAAGAGAGGGAAGATAGAAAAGAAGGAATATATTAGTTAATAGGGTTGACGTTTGAAAATTTGAATTGTAAAGCTATTGTGTTTATTTATTTGGAGGGTGTAGAGCATGCATGCACCACCAACTTTGTTATTATCAATTTCAAGGTAATGCTAAATTGTCGGTTAATAGCTTAAAATTAGTTTTATGTTGTGATTAGTTGATGTTTATACTTTAAGTAGTTAATTGGTGGTACCGCAGATAAGCCACGTCTTTTTTTCTTCTTTATATTAATGGGCATAGGTCACAATTCAACCGTGGCGTATGAAAGATTTATTTTTAATTTAAAAGAATTACGTTCTGATTAAGAGTTTTAATTCTTTATCAAGCTCGATTGTAATAATTGGTATCCAAACATAATTTATGTGAAATATTTTAGTCCATTATTAAGTTTTTTATTTAAAGCTAATTGCGTATTACATTAATTGTTTATGTAATTATCTTGTATATGCTTATTTGTTTTAACTCTTTTGTTGAGATAATTATGTTTTTGAGTGTTTTATACGAGTGCAGGGGTATTGACGAAATAATATCATAAGTGGTGAATGGTTACAAATAATTTATTACCTTATTTTATTTAATATTATTTTAATATGGGTCTGATGATGTTGAGACCATAAGTATAAAGATGTACTTTTTATGTTAAGTTGAATATTTTAAATTTAAGAAGATTAACTATATAAAAAGTGAGAAACTTATTTAATATCTATTTCTTTATTTGATATTTTTTATTTTCTCTATATTTTTTTAAGATTGGGGTTTAACTCTTAATACGTTTCTCTTTTATATATATATATATATATATATATATATATATATATATATATATATATATATATATATATATATATATATATATATATATCCTATTAATGTATCTTTCGTTTTATTTATTGAAACATTTAATTACCATTTTAAAAAAGGTTACTAAAGAACTGAGAGATGAATTTAATTGTTAATATTATTAAAATATTAGTTATTTCTGCAAAAATTTTATAAAAAAAACTATTTAAATTTATAGGAAACTTATTTTTTGTAATTTTTATAAAAAATTTGTAAACAATTCTGAGAATTTCTAGTAGCTACAGGGAGAAATTCTTATTTTAAATCATGGAGATTAATATTTAAAGAAATGGATTATAACAAAATACTTAATGAATTTAATTCAACATAACTATTATAAAGGGTATGTTACTTTATATTAATTCATCTTTAAAAAGAATAAAAAGACCATATAGATAAAATATATTAGATAAAAAAAATGTTAGTGCGAAATTCAATTTTGAAATTTTTTTTTATTCTCAATTTCATGTTAAATATATTATATCTTGTTTAAATAATTTATTTTTAATTCTTATTTTATAAATAATACTGAATTTTAATTAACTTTTTTCTTTTTACTTTAATATTAAATTAATAATTACAAAACACGTAATATTTATAAATTCAATATTATCATTATGCATTACAATGTGAAAAAAAAAGGTGTAAATAATTAAGTATATATGTAATGTATAAATTAAATGTAATAATTGTGATACCATTTTTATATAAGATTTGGAGTATATATAATGACATTCTTTAAATGTCAAAAATTTTTAATTTGTGACCTTTTTTGCTATTGAAGTATTGTTCTATTTTGTTAACAACATTCATTCATTTTATTTTTTTCACCATATTTTACTTTCTCTGTTATTAAATGAAAAATAACAACTTTCCAATTATATGCAAAGAAGGACATCAGATAATTGGTCTAACTACAAACGAACTTTGACCTATTAACTAAACCTATAATTCGTACTAACCTCTGATTATTTTCACGACCATAGAAAATTACAAAAAAGTGATTGTGAGTTGTTGTATAACTTTTCATAGTTTCTCATCCTCAAAAATGTCTCTCCCTATAAATAGAGCAATTTTAATGATATTGAACAATTCTCAAAGTTATCAACTCAGTTTACTACACATAATAAATTACTTTAATTTATAAAGAAAAATTAATTCATAATTAAATTACTTTATTTAAAAAGAAACGCATTTTAAAAATATATAATAAATTAATTGAACTAAAAAATTAATTCAAGTGTTTGAGTTCAGTTTGCTTTAACTATTTTTTAGTTAGTTTAGTAAATTGTTTTGTCTGGTTTAGTTCATTTTTTTATACAATTTAATTCAGTTTAGTTCATTAATTAATTTCTATTAAGCTATTGATATAAATTCTACATCGTCGTATTAAACTTTTTTCAGCATTTATTCTATTAAGAAAAAACTATTACTATATCGAGCTTAGTTTCAATTTAAAGATATAGTTTAGTATAGATAATATTTTAGTGGAAATAATATATTTATTGAAATAATAATTGCAAGTTTAGTTTTATAGTTTAAAACAAATATAGTTTAATAACTATAATAGTGTAGTTTGATTTATATAGAAATAGTTTTGACATAAGGAGGCTCTTCAATTATTCATTGTCAAGCTTCACAAATTATACATAACAATGCTAATTTGTGTGGAAGTTTTTATTATTGATTCCTTTACAAAATTGATGTCTTGGTACAATGAGTTGTTCTTATGTTGAACTATTAACGAAGAGTATCCCAAACATAAAACCAAACCAGGAGTACCTTCCTCATTTTCCTACATACCATGAACTTCTTATATAGTTGTTATAATTGATCTGTTTTGTTCTGTCGAACATGATTATGTATGAGTTAGAGTATATTAGTTCCATAATTCTCCACCAGCTATTTTCTATATTACACCAACCTCAATTTAATCAGTGTTATCATCTCATCTTTAGGTTTGCTTTGGGGGTGGTACTATCAAGTGCAACTCAAAAGGTAGTCTTCATTTTAAATTACTTCATAATTTAGGTGTCTATATATATATATATATATATATATATATATATATATATATATATATATATATATATATATATATATATATTTTTAGCAATCCATTGGTCAATGTTTAATCAATCACCTAGAAAGTATCAACAAAGTGATAGTAAATACTGTAAGTACTCCATGTATCAAATCTACCACTACATTCCTGATATGTTCAATTCAATGGTTAAACTACTGGCATAACCATTTTATGAGGCTGCACATCCATGCTTGCTCGTTCTTGCGTGCTGACAGAATTTTCTTGATGGAAATCATGATGAACAAAATTAGCCCCTACCTTATTTTGTTGCTGCACCACCAACACAGACCCATCAAATGTAGAATCTGAAGAGACCAGCATGTCTGCTACAGAGCCAAGTTCTGGGTAGTCAATCCACTCGGTCATTCCATAAAACAATGAGGACTCACCCTCGTGGCGTCTACCCACTAAAATCAAATCATAGCAACCTTCGAATGTCCTTATGATACCAATCATTTCCACACTATCTCTTACAACTTCCTCTTTGTAATCATGCCGTTTTATTTGGCTGTAGTTAACCAGAAACTTGTGCAAAATTTCAGTGTCAGGGTCTCTGTTGAGGAACTGTCTAACTTTCCTACGAGTTTCTGTTAACCTAATTACTGAGACCTTTACGTTGGGGTGCTCAGCCATGCGCATTGCATATGCCAAGGCTTCACGGTCATCTGGCCCTTCTATAAACAGAACTCCAACACTATAAAAGGACGTAGATGTTAAAGCGTTGTTGCTAATCAAGCTCCCACGTTCAACTAGGATCCCAACGGAACAAGGCGCGGTTCTCAGCAAATGGCGGTTCAATGTTCTAATGGGGTTTGGTAAATCTATAACCCCACTTCTTCTAAACTGCCTGTGAAAAGGCACAATCAACATGCAGGCTTGTTTATGTGCAGCCTGCAAGCATATCTCATCGTGCATTGTCTCATAAGGGGAGATAGATGTGTAGACTTTCACCACCACTTTGTCCGGTTTTTGTTGCTCGTATGATTTAAATGCATTTATTATGTTATTTGAAACATCAGAGTGCAATGGAATGGACCTGCTATTCTGTTGATGATCTATCAAAACTGGGATTGCTCTACCCTTCAGTTTAAGCAGGTGTATGACATGGAACCAAATGGGACTTTCAACTGTGGAGTTGGACATTTCTAGAAAATTGATCATGGGAGGGGTGTTTTCTTCAGTGTGTATGCATGCCATCAAGGGAAGTACAACGCCGGTAGGAGAATGCTCAACGGTCCTCCTCTTTGCTATAGACAAGTAAATTTTAGATGGGTCATACAGGTATTTCACTATAGGATTGGAAGCTGCCGTCAACCATATCATAGCTATCACCATTTGAGCGTACGATTTATCATCTATAATCTGCAAGACAAGAAATATAAATCGGTTTACTCGAATACTATGGGGAAAAATGTTATCTGTAAACTAAAGCCTTACATGATAGTAATGTAAATTTTGCAAGTGAAGCAAGTGCGTGATGCCTTGGGCACTCATTATGAGACCAAAGGAGACTCCGTCAGTGAGTGGCATATCGCAGTAGAGTGAGGGCAATACGGTTCCTACAATCTTTCCAAAGAAGCTGGTTATGGCCAAAGGCTGCACAATTTTGAAGCTATAGAAATCAACTAGATCGGGCTTGAATCTGGCACTAGCAGCGAAGAAGAACATTGGCATATATAGTCCTGAGATCAAGGTATCTAGCCTCTCTACCAATGCTGATCCAAGAGGAGGACCTTCTGGCACTGCTAGGCCCAGAATCAATGGCCCAAACACGTAGTGCCTTCCAATGAACTCTCCAAATAGTGAACACCCCAACACCATCACATAGATGGAAACTATGTAGGACTCTTTGATGGGTTTCCCTTTGGGTGTTTTCCGTATCATCCATAACATGATAGGTCGCAAAATACACAGGATGATAAGCACCATGACAATCATAGAAATAGCCATCATTGGGGAACCTCTTCCTCTGATGTTGTGCGCATTTCTTTGTTTTCGTGTGAGTATAAAGCTCTGCCACATCGCACTGACAATTCCACTTACCATAGATGAAGAGACTGCTAATCGACCAACCTCGGAATTTAGGAGCTTGAAGTCTTCTAAAAGACTGACAGTGACTTGAAAAGAAATAGATGATGAAAAAGCTGCAATAACATATAGGGACTTGTACACGTCTGTTTCCGGGGACAAAATGTGCCTTAGAATAAAAACATAAGGTATGCTAAACACGTGTGGCAATAGGCAACAACACAAGCCAATGGCCCAAGTCTTTTTCCCCGTTCTCATCACTAAGGATGGATCAGTTTTCACTCCCATCAAGAACAGAAATATCATGGTTCCGAAAAGAGAGATTGCCTCACTCGAGTAGAAAGGTTTTGAGGCGAATATCCACTTTCTAATGTTGGCAACTTTTCCCAAAAATGATGGTCCCCATAGCAACCCTGCCTGAACAACCAAATTATGTGTTATTAGCTTAATCATATCCAACACCAATTTTTCACTACATGCATTCCTAATTCCGCTTAAGCAACCCTAGTTTTCCATACGTATATGCATGATATAAAAGTGTGTTTTTTTTTTTTTTTTTTTAAGTACATCAAACATTATGTATATATGATAATCTGATACTGCATGATCATATATGTATATGACAGAATATATATTGTATTACCAGCACTTGAGGAATGAAGGAAGTCTCCCCGAGGGGGATGAGAAGGAATCGCAAGAACGCGGTGGACAAACATACTAAGGAGGCCTGTAAAGTGAACACTGTGAGCGTGTAGTTTAAAGGGTTGTCGCCGTAGAATATTCCTTTTGTATATTTTTGAAACATAGTTGTGTGTTCGCAAATCCATAAACTTGTGTTTAAGGACAAGGTGGGATTGGAGATTACGTGGGTCGACATTACCTAAAGAGACACTTGCAACAAATCAAACATGATTTACGATGAAGATCATGTAATGTGAAGGGAGGTTGTGGAATGAAAAGGTGGAGGAGAATGAAGAAGGAATATAACCTTCAACTATAAAGCTATTGTGTTGATGTATTTAGAATGGAGATCATGCACCACCAAGTTCCTGACAAGTTATAATGATTATTTATTTCAAGCGGCAACGCTGAATCGCGGATTCGTGTCTTAAAATTAGTTGATGGTGATATATTTTTAGTAGTGAAATCGGTGGTGTTGACTGCAAAACCTACAAAGCCACAACATTGTTTACTTTAAAAGATTGCTAAGAAAATTCACAAAAATTACTTACTTTGAAAAAAATTAAATTGAACGTGTATTCAATTCTTTTTATTGAGAAATAAAACTGTTTCATATTGAACTTGTGGCCAAATTCGATTTTTCAAGTGCTATACCATGACATATTTACTACCGGGATAACTAAATTACAGAAGAAAATATAACTATTTTTAATCCAAAATTTTAAGTCGTCTTGATCATTATTACTCCACTTTTTTAAGGTGAGATTATAATTTATATTTAATTATATTTTCTTAAAATGTATAATTCTCTTTCACATTAATATTCTATCTCTAACAAAAATATTCTTAATTATGATTATTTCACAATTAATTCTTGTTTATATAGTACTTTAATATAATGAGATTTACTTGTCTGAAATTTTTATCTACAAAAATTTCAATATATTAACAATCATTGATAGTGTTGAGTTTTGTAAGGAGAATAGACTGGGAAATATTTATAAACGGACGAATCAATCATACAATAAAATATTTCACCACTTCCAAACAAAAACCTCTCAACTTTTCGAACGTGCAATTTTAACTTAAGGATTTCCCAAGAGACCCCTCATCCAAAGTAATTTATTCAAATAACTAATGTAGACCGATGTCAAAATTACTGGGTGCCCGATTAAACAAACAAAAATGTTTCATTCAAAATTTACAGTTATTCATTCTTTGACATGAAACTGTTCAACCGTCTTGAAAAAATTAATAACTGTCTGTTTCTGGTGGAATTTTGATCGATTTCGATTTCTAGGGAATTTTGTTCTAACCAAATTCCAACCACATAGATTCTTTTTACTTAGGCTAGCAACTAATTTTCAATCGAAAAGTGCATGAGAATCGAGAATCTTAGGGGTGCAAACATCACTACTTAAAGTGCAAATCGCAAGTGCTGTTTTTGGTTTTTTTTTCTTTAAGAGACGCGAAGTAAAGAAAACAGTAAAAATACTGAATCGAAAAGATAATACGAATATTAAATTGCAGAAATTTAAAGTGCGGAAACCTCAAAATTGCATTAAGTGTAAATGGCAAGGAATCGAAAATTGCAGGATTGTAAATAAGCAAAAAATCGAACTTTGCGAGAAAAATAGATAACAGAAATCGAAATTGCAAGAACGATAAATGACAAGATATCGAAAGTATAGAGACTTAAATTGCATTAAGGTAAATGACAAGTAATCGAAAGTACAGAGACTTAAATTGCATTAAGGTAAATGACAAGTAATCGAAAGTACAGAAACTTAAAAATACATGAATATAAATTACCAGGGAAAGTAAAGAAAGCGATAAAGGCAGTCAATGAAAATGGAAATCCAGATCGCCAGAAACTTCATGATTGCATCGTTCTCCGGTAGACTTCTCACTAGTATTTCTGTTCTCTCTGCCAATTTCCCCCTTTTTTCCAGTCTTCGCTCTATTTATAGAGCATCTTTCAAGTAACCTCCCAAGAGTGGTAAATACCACTATCATCACGATCCTACGTGCCCGTTCCTTTAGTCTTACAGTTTTAAAAAATGCACTCCACGTTCTTATGTATAAGAGAACTGTTCCTCCTTCGATCTCCGTTGCGGTCTAAAAACTGTTTCCCACGTTCCCTGTGTGTGTTAACCGCTCCCTCGATCTCGATTTCAGACATCGAGTATTTTAAATTTTACTTTTGATTCCCTTTTATTTTGTACTATTCTAACTTCAACAATAGGCGTCAAAATTTTTTTCTTCGATTTTCGATTTTGATTCTCGATGTACTTTTATCTTTGTGGTTACCAGATATCTTTTATCACTTTCATCGAAAATACGTTCTCGATGTCTTTTACCAATCGTATGATCTTCGATTTTTTTCTTTCCTTCGTTTTTCGATCCCTTTATCGATTTCCCATTAACAGAATGCCCCCTTGGAAGAATATAAACGTTTGTATTTATATTCTTTCAACATGATTCCCGCCTTTTGGAGGCCCACTAGAACTTAGGGTTTAGGGTTGCTGGGGTTGTAGGGTTTTTTCCACTTTATGTCACCTATCATGTCAGTTCTGCCGTCTCGCTGCACACGTCACATTAATTACCCTTCACCTCCGTTGCTTCCAGTACCCTAGTGGGTTTCCTTCAAACGTTTGTTAGCCTTTTACTCTTGTTTTTACACGAACTTTTACTCCTCCTTTGCACCTTTGTCTTCTACCTTGCGCCTTCGTCCTCAACCTTGCACCTTCATCCTCACACCTTCTGTTTTCCTCTGCTCTATCGGCTAGTGAAATGGCAACCTCATCCAAATCCTCTGACTTTTCTGCCCCCACCACTTCCCTCGTTGGCCTCTAACCTGCTAGAGATTAATAACCAGAAATTTGCTCCAGTTCCTTTGTTGGAGGAAGCTTCTCAGAAGGTTGCTGAGACGCAGGTACTGATTCCTTATACTGCTGGTGATGTAAATTATGCTTTTGGGGGTCCTATCCGCTCTTGTAGCGGATCTTTTTCTTCCATCAATCTTTCTTCAAAGAGTCAGGCTCCCATTCATCAATCTGAAGTTCGAATTGATTTTTTAAACATTGTACCGAACGGGCCCTCCCTGCAAAAAAACCCTTGTATATTAGGTGGTTCGATCGAGTGGAAACCAAGTTTGGGAATCATTGGAGAGCTATAGGGATCTTTGATTTCCTGCATCTGTCTCGATGCGATTTATCTTATTTAGACATGGCTATGTTCCCATCAGCTGTTCATCTGTGGAATAAGGACTTACATGCTTTGGAATTACCTTGTGGTCCACTTTCACCCACCCTCTTTGAAATTGCTGCTATTACTGGACTAAAACCCATAGGGAAAAAATATTTTAAGGGTGTTTTTCCTTCGGATACTTCTTTAAGGTCCAAGATCGATTGGGAATCGAAGGCGTATGGACATTTTATCGAAAAGCACTTTGTCGATGACCAATCGATAGCTGTAACTGATGAGGAGCATATAGCTTTCTTAGTGTATTGGTTATGCACTCATGTTTTCTGCCCCCGATCCATCCAAATTTCATCCCACCTTTACAATCTTGCCTATCTACTTCACATCGGCCAGCCTAGAATTTGTTTAGCCAAGCTTTTGTTAGCCCATGTCTATACTGCTTTTGATGGGGCCGTCGAGATTTTGAATACCCCTAGGGCCTCGGGAAATTTTTCAGGTCTCATTTGGTTTATCCAATTATGGCTGAACTCGATTTTTGAAAGTATCCTCCCTCCAACCTCCACAATCCCCCCAATTTTAAATTTAGAGAGTGCTCGATTATTTTCTCGACATCCTCGCCATAAATCCGACGAGATCACCTATCGTAAATATCTCAGATTTTTGTTAACTCAATTTCGATTTGAGTCGCATTTTGCCCCTTTTTCTGTGCATCTTGGAAAAATGAGTGACCAACTTCGAGGACCAACATGGTTTAAATCGAAATTTCCTGCTCTTACCCCAGGGCTGCAGTCAGAGTTGGTCGAAGTATGGAGCAATTATTTAACTCAAGACGTGTTGGTATCGGGTTTCCAATCAAAGGACCTTCAGCTTGTTATTTATTATCCTCAGCTTTTGTCGAGGCAATTTAGTTTGAGTCAAGCCTTACCCTTTTTCCCCCTCGATGCCTCCTCGAGGTCCAAATTAACTGAGTCAACCGTTGGAGGGGAGCTCGCCAAATTGCTGCCGAAAGACCCGTTACATTTTTACCCTTATATTTTTTAGTCCAATTATTTATCAACTCTTGGTTTCTCTGAGTGGTGAGCCGACTGGTTTTCGAATAATCATTTTGATTTTGACGTAGTTCAACAAAAATTGACTGTTCATCCTTCTCTCGTGTTGCAGGACAAATCGAAGGCGAAGAAAGGTACACACTCCCACTATCTCCAAATATCTCGATTCGAAAATTTTTATCGAGTCTGTTACAACCCCTTGAAATTAGAATCGACCTTTTATGATGATGTTATTTCCTTAGCCAATAAAACAGACACTAATCGATCGAACCACAAAATAATCAATCCTCAAGGTAAAACCCCTTTTGAAATGTATTGTCCCGATCACCTTCCCACTTTTCCCACAGCTCCTTTTGGACTTGCCAAACCTTTAACTCATCCTAGATGGGTTCGAGAGTTAAGATCTTTCAAAGAAACTCTTTACCCTAAACCCAAAAACAAAGATATTTCGATATCGAAATTATCCTACTTCCCTTACCTGAACCTTCCTCAAATTCTTCTTCCTCCTTGGCTTGTCCATATCGACCGAGTCAAGATTTTGACTCCATCACCCTTTGGTGAGATTTTGTTACCTCTTTTAGGAGTATCTTTTGGTTTTCTTTATATTGTAAATTAACTGTTTTCCTTTTTTCGACAGTTTCGAAAACTTCTAAACTTGCCGTCTCCGAGAAGGAGAAGGACTAGGAGTCCTCCGATGAGTCGGATCCATCGGCCCTCATCAGGAAACGCAAGCACTCTGCCACCATTACCTCATCTTTGAAAAAATCGAAGGTTTTTCTCGATTCCTCATTGTCTTATTTATCCATCTATGTCTATAGCTGATTCACCTTGGATTCTCATACAGATTTCTGTCATTTATTTTCGATTTCTA